AGCGCATTACAGTAGTCCAGTCTTTAGCAGCTCGCTGTTTTTTTAAAAAATGTGAAAAACTACACTTTAGGCTTTCTTCCAAATTCTGTTCATCATAAGATGTGGTGGGTAACTTTCTGACTTTCAGTTTTATCACTAACATGTATTTTGACTTCAATTCTCTATTGAACACAAGAAATCAAGTAATAAATCACTAGGAGAAGAATTACTGCTTAAGACATAATGGTAGGGGCTTGGTTTCATTTTTACTAGTAGTTCTCTTGAATTTACTTCATAAAAGGCTGCATATGATATTTGGAGCTATTAGGATGAAAGTATAATTTCATTTATTATTTTTATTATTCATATGAGTTACACCTTGGGATAATTCATATTTGAAAATTGCAGTAAACCTTTCTGATTGATTGTAGTCAAAGGCAGATTGACATATTAAAATATTAGATCAGTCTAATTGCCAAGCATTTAGTTATTATAAGAGGAATTTAGATTGCATAAATTGCAACATGGCAGTGTATTCATTAAAATATATCTTGGTTTTACAATTTGGTCCAGGTGCCTAAATTATTTTAGTTTTAAAATGAGATTTGAATTTTTCCAACTATAGTGTATTTTTAATAAAGCAAAGTATTATTTATTTACTAAACTTATAAGCTGCTCGTGTCACCTACAGGTGATTTGACTCTTAAGTGGCTTATATTTGTTAAGATATATATTAGTTATTTGCAAAACCTGTGAATTAAAAAATTACAATATCTCACATTAAATAGCATAATAGCAGCATCATGATACGTGCCCCCTATCCCTTTTATGTATAACATGCATTCATATCCCTCTAGGTATTCATATAACATTCTGCAGATGCCTACATTGTATGATTTTTTATGAAGATGAAACTTACTCAACTAAAAGTCCTGTCCCCCCCACATTTATTGGGCATGCAAGAGAATATTTAAAAAGAGTTTGTAGTCATTTTTTCTTTGTTGGAAATTTAAAATGGGTAACATATAGACTTCTAAAGACCATCTCACGCACTTGTCACTTTATCAGGGCACCTACAGTGAAAAACACAAGCTATAGAATAGCATGCATGACCAAGCAAACCACCCGTTTCATATGTGTGCAATGTATGTGATGTGTTAAAAGGGATGGGCTTATTGCCTAGTTGCACAATCCATTTTAATGCCACTACTTTAGATGCACCTGTACCTGTTCTTTCATTAAGTTGCTTGCTGTTTGATTGTTTGTCTGAGCAAACCCCAACTTCCTTCTAGCACTGATGTTACCTAATTGGGCAATGAAGTTATGCAACAACCAAAGTCCCCATGGTTTAATTATGTATTAAAAAGTGTTCTATATTTTTAAAAACACAGAAATATAAAGATGTTTTCATTTTTTCTGTTTCAAATTTCTGTTTATGCTTATGATATTATAATGTACATTTTCTTTCTTTTAATTCAGATAGCATTCTTAATTGCATTCATTCAGTTAAAATTGTGACTGATATTTTGAATATAAATACAACACTGCAAAATATATATCTAATTCTTAGCCTATAATTGCACAAATTGTGAAGTTCTGTTGAAGACATCTGTATTTTATTGACTTGAAGTATGAAGTCTTTGGTAATAATTGATGAGTAGCATAAAAGCACAAAATGTTTATTTGCTCAGCATATGAAACAGTTTGCAGTTAGGGTTAGGGTTTTGTGAAGGAAAACAAAGTTGTTACTTTGTCCTACCAATGTGATTTCATTCAAGACAAAGATCCTAATTGTTCTAAAATAATGGGATAGAGAGCCCATTTAATTGAGGGAAATTAAATGAAACGTGGAATAGGCAAATAGATTGAAGAAGGTATTTGGAAGCATCAGAAGAGAACAAATGTGGACTAGGTGTTTTCTCAACAATACTCTTATCAATTTAAGGCAAAGTAAGAATTTAAACAAAGTAAGTACCTTAAAAAGTGAAAAGTGCCACTTCCTCTGCTCAGTTAGGAATTCAATTTAAAGCAATAACTATATTTATTTAAATTTATGATTAGTCAGGTGCCATCAGCATAACATCAATGTGGAGTGGACAACACCTGGGCTGTGCTTGGGAAGTTAATATATAGCCCATCAATTAATCCTGAGTTTTTGAATTACTGCTCTCACATACATAGTTCTTTGTTGTAATTAATTATTTGTTGTAGTTAACCTCACAACAATGAGGTTGCTGTGGACACTGCTATGAAGTAGTTTGAAAGTAAAAGCAAAGATTATACTACAGTGATTTATATCAGGCTTCTGAAGTAGATTGTATCTGTTCCCCACATTGGTTTCAATCCCTTAGGAAAAGTACTTTCGCTTGAAAGATGTCTTCTCCATGAAACAGATCCTCCAGGCATCTGCTGTTTCTAACTTTTTACTCTTAAAACTTTTATCCTTGAAATGACTGTTGCGGTACAGTTTATATGACAGGTAGAAAATGTAAAGAAAATATTTTGAATATTGATTGATTTTTATCCCCCAGTTAATAATTGCAAATATCTGTCTGTACTGTTATAAATAGCCTTTGAGTTCCCACTGTAATGGAGTCTCTCCCTCATGGTCATAAAGTGGATTGGTCATATGTCTAACTCAGTTTTATGACCTTTTTGTGGCACTCATTAAACGAACTGATAGTTTGCTATGATGCAGTTTTGCCAAAAACTGGAAGCAAATGCAGATTTTTAAGAAAACCATCATAAAACATGTTCATATGGCTACGAGGTGCTACAAATGGCCATAAATGCGGCCTGGTTGCTGAGTGCTCAAAGTGTGATCATATCGTAGGCAATGATCATTAGAAGTTTGCTTCCAGGTTGTCCTGTAATGTTCTCCTCCATGTTGTCCTGTCATAACTTCAAATGTTCAGTAAGTGATTGGTTGTAAGTTGAAGACTATCTGTAGTTGGTTAACAAATCTTTGCTTCATTTTACAAAAACCTGCCTGGGTAAGGAATTGTTTTGAATATGAATCGGGATTTCTGTTAGCAATCAGCTAGCTCTTCTACAAGATATATTCTGGTTTGACAGTAAACATGAGTTCTGTGTGCCTTAGTGTATAGTCATGCTGGCCACATGACCATGGAAATGTCTTTAGACAATGCTGTTTCCCTTGGCTAAGAAACGGGAGATGAGCACCATGCCCCTCTCCCCCAAGTCAGATACAACTAGACAGGGGAACCTTAATCTTTATGAAAAGTATATGGGTGCCCTTGTAAACCACAAATTAAACAAGTAAGTAGTCTAATGCAGTTGTTAAAGGGCAAATATTATTTTGGGATGCAACAAGATAATGGCAACAGAGGTATAAGGTCCAGATCACAGGAAGTAATTGTTTCATTCTATCCTGTTCTGGTTAGATTCTGTTTGAAGTAGTGTGTTCAATTGTGGTCATCACATTCAAAAAGGACAATAACATTGGAGCAAATTCAAAGCAGTACTAATGTAGACGCTAAGAAGGATAATGTTGCAGAGATAAGCTGACTGTTGGCAAGGCAATGGGGCTACTTTTAGTCCAGGTAATATTTGAAAGCAGTTCAGACAGATATTTATCTAATTCATTGAATTATAAAAAGAAAATGCTGAAAGTATAGAAAAATTAAACTTGCAAGACTCTGTTATAGCCAATCTCAAATAAAAGTTGCTGTAGACATCCTGTAGGGTTGATTTCATGGTCTGGTATATCTAGTGGAGCTGAAAACATTAGATAGTGAAAGGTTTGAAACCCAGCCCTTTGAGGAATGATGAAAAGATCTAGTATTTTTAGCTCACAGAAGAGAAAGTTGATACTCTTAAAATATCTGAAGAGCTGTCACAGAGGAGAAGAAATTAACTTATTCCTTATTGTTCCAGAGGGTAATAGATTGGGTTAAAACTAAAGGAAGGAACTTCTGGGTTGATATCAGGAGGACCGTCCTGTCTGTACAAACTGCCAACCAGGGGAACAAGCTGCTACATGATTTGGCAAGTTCTCCTTTACTACCAGTCTCCAAGAAGTCATGTGTGATTGTATATACCTCAGTAATATCTGCTGTCAAATATTTTCACAAACTAAAAAGTTCCAAACAGTATTTTCATGAAAGAAAGATTTTTGAGCCCAGTCATTTTAGTAGAACACTTCATAACATTTCCAGTTCTGTTATATCCTTAAAAATCTGGTGATCAGAATGTAGACAAGAAAGAAACCATGACCTGAATCAAAGACTTTATGAATTTCGTTTTCTTACTCTTGGATTATAGGTTACTAGCTGCCACATAGCAGCTTACTTCTTATAGTGATGATGACTGGCCAATGTTATTTCTTTTGTTTGCAGAAATTCTAAAAAAGCCTTTCCAAATTGTAGTTTTCTAGTTGCTCTCAGCTTTAAGTGTCATTATTGTTATAACAATTATAGAAAATTACAGAAAGTGGCGTTCAGTATCAGTACCAGTTGGAGAGTGGTAGAGACATGACTTCTAATTATGACACTCTGAATGTATTGTTTGTCTTAACTTTGCTCTGATTGACAGACTTTCAGCTTTTAAATTTAAGGAAGAAGGATTTATTCTGATTGATTATAGTTAAATGAGACATTACTAACTCTATTCTTGGTTGTTCAACAAAATAGCTGTGTCCATGTAATGAAATAACTTTGAAAACATCATGGTGTACAGAGTATGCATTAGCCCACAGAGTACATCTTCATATCTCCATATTTTAAATGAAATTATTACATTCATATATTTTTGAGAAATGTATGAGTGTTCTTCAAAACAAGCATGGGCTAGAATTCTATTTTAAATATGAGGGATGTTCAATATTTTGGTGAATGTAGTGTTTAAAAATTTTAGACATTATATTTTTGCTAATTAAAATTAAGCATTGCTTACTTTGATAAAACACTTCTTTTATTGATATTTTTTTCACCAGTTGCCCATTTGTTTTAATAAAGCCACCAACAATGAATATTCCTTTTTTATTTCCTCCCATCTTATAGGAAACCTAGGATAAATTCTCAGCTTGTAGCACAACAAGTTGCTCAGCAATATGCTACACCACCACCTCCTAAAAAGGAGAAGAAAGAAAAGGTGGAAAAGCAAGAAGAGAAAAAAACAGACAAAGAAAAAGAAGTTAGTCAAAGTGTTATAAAGAAGAATACCAACAAGAAGACTAAGTATGTTTCTGGATCACCCATTAAAAGTTATGCTGACAAAGTAATTTGTATCTGTAACTCTTATGCATTTGCATATCTGTTTTCCCAGTCTTGAAATTCCAGACAGCTTGATATTTTTTGAAGAATTCTTAATCCTAATTTGCAATGATTTCTAAATTGTGATCCCACAGTAATTCTCTCCTTCCCTTTGTCAACTCTACCACTTACTTCAAGTTACATGGTTTTTTCCTGGATGCTGCCCTCATTTTACAGTTACATGCCATGTTGAATTTCCCCATAATAGAAAGAAATACAATTCTTGTTAAAAACATTAGAATGAATTTATTTTATTTTCTTCTCCACATGACTTTATTGATCTACTCTCGTTGATTTCATAGATGAATAATGCATAAAACCTGCATTAATTATATAAAAATGTATCTTTTTATGTATGTGTGTATACACACACATATATGTATGTATATATGCATATGTATGTATGTAGATGTGTGTGTATGTGTGTATATATGTAGATACACACACACACAAAAGAAGGTTTACCTTTAGGTTACCAATTATCCCAGTTTCAGGAATGATATTCCCAGAATACCAGTATATTTATAATGTATTGTTAACTTTTCTTCTTCAGGCCAAAGTCAGATATTGTGAAAGATGCTCCTAGTGAAGCAAACAGTATACAATCTGGAAATACAACAAAGACCAGTGACTCAAATCACACCTCAAGGTAACTTTTTAATATAAAGAATTGCTCGATTATAAGGTTATGGAAGTACAGGAACTTTTATTTAGTTTTTTTCCCCTGCAGACCATCCTTTAATTTACCATTTTGAGGCTTGTGATAATATTTGTGATAATACTTCAAATCTTATTTAAAGTGTTTCTGTTTCATTCTATTTCATTTCACACTTAGAATATATAATAAATTAAAATGTGAAATATTAACTTGTGCTAAATCATAAGTGAGCATTTTGTAACTATTGCATAATCATCAGGGATGACCTGACCTTTCAATTGCAATAAACTAGATTATCTTTTAGAGCATTATGTGGATAACCTGTCCAAGTCTACATTGTTGATCCACATCAAAGTCTAAATTAATACCTAATTTGTAGTTCCTGGGATTTAGAGATTGCTAGCCAGATTAATAATGACTTTGTTATTACAAGATCAGCCAGCCTATAAATTTTGATGAGTTCTTTGATACATATCCCATTGGATATTATTGGTTTCTTAGCATAATGAGAAAAGGTAGTCCCATTTTTTAAAATTTGGGTTGAATGCCTATGTATAAACATGGTATGTAAATAAAGTTCATATATTTGTTTAATTCCATTCCTTCTTTAGTAACTTAGAGTAGGAGCTAATCCACTGTAGGCTGAGGTGGCTAAAGACTCTTATTCTAGTATTACATCCTTGATAAGGAAACAAAATCCATTATTCACTGTAATACAGGTAGTCCGCAATTTACAGCAGTTCATGTAGTGATTGTTCAAAGTTACAACAGCACTGAAAAAAGTGACTTGCGACTGTTTTTCACACTTACAACCATTGCAGCATCCCCATAGTCACATGATCAAAATTCAAATACTTGGCAACTGACACTTATTTATGATGGTTGCACTGTGTCATGTGATCACCTTTTGTGAATTTCTGACAAGCAAAGTCAATAGGGAAGCCAAATTCACTTAACAACTGTGTTATTAACAATTGCAATATTCACTTTAACAACTGTGGCAAGAAAGGTGAAGAAAAATTACTTAACAAATATCTCGCTTAATAACAGAAATTTTTGTTTCAATTGTAAGTTTATATATATATATATAAATAAATAAATAAAACATTTGCTTACTACAAAAAAGAATAGTGCAATCATTTTCTTATTTGTTCTTATTTGGAAAATAGAGGAAAAAAATAAAGGCAATTGTATCATAATTTAATTTGGAAGAGAAGTTACAAAATACGTGTTACAAAGATTTTGTATAAAACAGCTATTAGTGTCATTTAAATATCTAAATTAATTATGAAACAAGTATATAGTAGCCGACCAAAATGGTAACATCTTACGTAATTTAAAGGCTTATTTCAGTTGATAAACTAAATTTCCAGTACCTAATTTCTTCAGGAGGAACTGCCATTGCAGTTTGCCTTTCAGGGAAACCCCTGTGCTAACAATTGTACAATTTCATTATATAGAATGAAAATATTTTAGCATTATGCAGGACTGGATGTTCCTTTTGTTTATAATCTTTTAATTCAGTTCTGTGCAACTCATCAAGTACTGCAAATCTTTATTCGATTTAAGAAGAGGTGGAATAGTCTTTGCATTCTTTCTCTGTCATTTTTCTGCCTCTGTGACACAATTTTTAGATATTCTATCTACTTAAGCTATAACAAGCCTGCAGTAAATGCACCCCTCCTTTAGCTCTCCCTGTTGCCTTAAGGATTGCTGCTAAACTACCTAGACAGTTTAGAGGCTGATACTGAACTATTCAAGCCCTGGCTTGAAATTCTATCTCTCCCATAAAATGAAAGCAGACTTTCTTCAGCCAGCATTTCCATCAGGTCTAAATTTCTCAAAATCAAAACAAATAAGATACAGCTATTTGGATTTTCTGAAGCATCACAACTAGATTGAAACTGTCTGTTGTAACGACTCTGAAAACAAAGATGGATGATAGAAGATTTGAGAATACAAAATCCATAAATGTTTTGGCAAAAAATCGTAGTTGAAATAAGAGAAATAGGCAAGCAAGGTTTAGAACAATACAAGCAGAATTGTTTTCTTTGCTGCCATTTTGTTACCTTTAAAAGTTACTAGCCAACCTGGCTCTTGTTGGGGAATTTTTTCAGAGATAACTTCCTTACCTAAACAGAGGAATAGAATGGCCAAAAAAGCAATGGCAGCAGGAAAGATCTCTGACTTCCTGCCAGGTTTCCCTTGTATTTCCTTGTGGGAATCTGATAGGGAGTAGATTCCATTCCATTCCAGCAGGCAGCTAAATGGCTTCTGCTGTTTAGGGAAGGGAATGAGAAAGTGCAAGAGTGGCTGGAAAACTATCCCAGAATGTTGCAAATGAAGATCAGGTGACCACAAGTGCAGTCAGTGGTGTATTAACCATTAAGCAGACTTAAGTACGTCCTTAGGGCACCACAAAGTTGAGAAAAAAAAAAAACAAGATTTGTACAGTATGTACAAAGGATGGGGGCACCAAGATTTGTCAGTGCTTAGGACATCAGTGAGCTTTCACCTGCCACTGGGTGCAGTATGAGCCGGTAGCATTGAAGCAGCCATAAGTTTTCCAAATTTAATTCCCTAGGAGTCATTGGTCCCACGTTTTGGATCATTTTGTAAGTTAGCCCATTTGAACTGCTTTGGTTCAAAAATTGTTGCCCTATGATGTACAATTTTGCCCAGTTAAAGATCATAACAGCACAAATATATAGATAGGCTTGAGATATTTTTAGATTGTCCTGTCAATTTGTAGTCTGCTCTAGTGTTACTGCTAGAATTATTAAAAATGAAACTTTGTTCATTCCACAGTATGAAGGAATTGGTTAATTTGAAATGTTTTGTTTGAGAGCTAAGTGAATAATTTGGGAAGAATAATAGCAATAGCAATAGCAGTAGACTTATATACCGCTTCATAGGCCTTTCAGGCCTCTCTAAGCGGTTTACAAAGAGTCAGCATATTGCCCCCAACAATCTGGGTCCTCATTTTACCCACCTCGGAAGGATGGAAGGCTGAGTCAACCCTGAGCCGGTGAGATTTGAACCGCTGACCTGCTGATCTAGCAGTAGCCTGCAGTGCTGCATTTAACCACTGCGCCACCTTGGCTCTAGAACCATCTAGTAATATTTACTTAGGCTCAGTAGAGCAAGATGGGATTTGGGAGACTAACCCTTTGAATCAAATCATCAGTTGCATCCAATTAATAGCAGCACTTTATAGAACTTAGACTTATATAATTCTTCACAGTGCTTTACAGCCCTCTAAGCGGTTTACAAAGTCAGCATATGCCCCCTTAACAATCTGGATCCTCATTTTACTGACCTTGGAAGAATGGAAAGCTGACTCAATCTTGAGCCAGTGAGAATTGAACTGCTGGCAGTCGGCAGAATTAGCCTGAAATACTGCATTCCCCATGGTGTTGACGGGAGAGTCCAGGATGGGTTATTCTAGCCTGTTAACTCGTTGACTGAATTGAAAGTCTGAAGACACACCTCCCTGATAACGCTCCTCAGTCTTTCAATTCAGTCTCAGCTCGCAGGACGTAGACTTGAGCTCAGGGCTTTGAGTTATCAATGTTTTGATAGTGTAATTTAGGTTTTTCTCTGGATTAGCACTAGATAGGTGTAGAGAAATTGGAGTAAATTGTTGGAGCCGCGGAGTGTGTTTTTGTGCTCATTGGAGCCTGCTAAGGTCTTATTTTTACTGCCTCAGCAGAACGCTTCAATTGCACTACTATTTAAAGCCGCTGTCAGTTGTGGCTTCAAAGGCTACCAATGATTCCAGCAATTGAGGCAAGTGACTTCGGAGCTCCTTTCTACATGGAGTGGCTTGGAAAAATAGAGTTTGTTGGCACTCCTTGAAGGCTATGGAGGTCTTTTTGCTGCCTCAGCAGCAGACACGGCGGTTTTGCACGCTTCAATTATGCCCACCATTTTCAAGCCGCTGTCAGTTGCGGCTCAGATTTAATGGCTGCCTGGCGATCCCTGCAATTGCGGCCAGTGGCTCCGTAGCTCCATTCTATAGCAGAGCAAAGATAACAGATTGGGAAGCCACAGCCACTGTACCACCATGGCTCTTAATCCAGTGATTCTGTGCGTTTTGTACATAATTTAATTTAATAAATTATGTACCACTTGACTTTTAGCAGATCTGGGCTGATTTAATTTACATTAGTTTGATCAACTCAAATCAAAGCTAATTCAGTGTAGTGGTTAAGATCCACTGTCTGAAATCTATGGTGCACAAGCTATCTCCCAATTTCTCTTTCTATAGTACCTTAAACCTTAAGATGTTGCCATGACTTCTTCTCAAACTGCTTTTATCTCTTCAACCAGCTCTTCCCTATTGATTACAAATATGACTAGAGAATCTAGGATTAAAAACAGGACTAGGAAAACAGTCAGCAAGATAAAGAGTAATTTCAAGATCTTCCTCTTGTTGGCACAGTTGTTTTTCTAACAGATTATTTGGTAGTTGAAATTTCCCATTATTATTGTACGTCTCCTTTTGAGATTCTGTAACTTGCCCAGGTTTGCCCATGTTCCTCCTTGATAGTCTGTAGCACACCATCACAATAATATCTTTTGTTTCCCCTTCCTACGGTTCTTACCCAAATGCTTTTGTCAGGAACCTTATGCTCCAATTTCTGGCTCTCAGTATATGTGTGCATTTCTTTCATACGTAATATCACTTCTAGTCTGCTTTTGTTTGGCCCATTCCTGTTGAGTTAGTTTTATTTATACTTATGAGTATTATCCCAGTTTCATAATTCTTGTTTTCCCCTGAATTATGCTACTAGATTATTGCTTTATCCTCCTAGACAGTTTATCACAGTGCCTTGGAGGTGCTCTTGATCTTTGCAAATAGGTTGGAATAGGCACTTAACAGGAGGGGGTTTATTCAGTGGCTTCAGAAAGGCATAGACTCATTAAACATCATGTTAATAAGCCTCTGCTTAAGTGGTAAATACCTCCCTATATTGTCTTAGTAATATATCTAAATTATAATATCCCCTTGTGCATTAATATTGCAATTGACTATTATGAATTTGTGTTTGGGTCTCTGATTTTGCTATAAGAATGGAACTGCATTAGTTCACAGTGGCCTCTGAATCACACTTTGTTTTCAAGCATTTTTCTTTCTGGTGAGATTCAGGTTATATGACAGAATATAGATTGAAGGCTGATTTTTAACAATGAAACAGCCTGTTTAACCTGTCAAGAGAGGCACTGTAGGACTTTGATTTCTTTGATTATCTTTGCTCTTTCAGCAGCATAGAGAATTCTCAGATTTCATTAAATCATTGGTGAATGTTTTGCCATGGGTTGGGTAAAGCTTGCCCTGAAATAAATGCCTCATGGTTCTGTGTGCTCCCTAGATTTACCTTTGTTGCTTCATTAATTTTGGCTGTATTGGACTAATACTCAATAGACCCTGCACAAAGTTTTTTGAACTGTAATTTGAAATTTTACCATGCATATATGATGACAGCAGCATATAAAGTGTATATTAAAATACACTCAACAATTTATTATATAATTATATAAATTAATTGTTCAACTGGTTGCCAGTTTCTTCTAAACATTTATTTACTTGTTTAACTCGTAACCTTTGAACATTTCTAAGTACAGTAACATTTTCTCTGAAAAAAAATAAGAAAATTGTGATTGGCCTATGCAACTAACATGCGGTGGACTCGGTATAGAAAAACAACCTTTCTTCTAAGTTTTCCATTCATCCCATTTGTTATGTTATAAACTAACAGAAAAATCAAAATTCATCTGATCACTGCCACCAAATTATTTCAGGTGTTACTTCATTAATGTGGATAATGAGAACTAATGTCCACATTCCTTGCTTCCTGGCAAAAGAATATTGAGCTTGACCTTTTGCTAGCTCAAGTGGATCATGAGTTGTATCTCACTCTGTCAACTCTGTAAAATACTTTTGCAACTATCTGAATAAATAATAGTTGCTTTGAGCATTTTAATTTTTAAAGCTTTGTTTCTGAAATAAGCCTTTACTGTCTCTTATTTTGTTTGTTAAAAGGAGCCATTCATGTTTGCTCAAAATCTTCCTTGTTTTTTTCCCCTTTCTGACATGATAATGGAGAGTTTGTTTAATTTCCCAAATAATGAACAATATCACTTTGTAAAGTTGTGAACTGAATGTTTTTCCATATGTGAATGTGAGCCAATGCTTTATTAATCGGTTTAATTGCTTTACATCACAGCACAAATCTAAGATTGCACTATTCTAATGCCTTTTTAAAAAATCGTGCAGTTCTGTTGGGCAATATTTGTATTTCGTAGCTTGTATTCAGCAGTGCATTCAGAAAAGAGACTTATAAGCCATTTTTAGAAGGTCATGTGGGGTTTTTCTCCTATGCATTCCAGCAGTTGGGAAAGATGCCAAATTTTACTGGCATTCATACATTTGCAACAATTTAGAACCTGACCCTTTACATTGCCATGTGCAGATGCTTTTTTTGTCCTACAAAATTGCACTTTCAGGGGCTTAAGAGGCTGAAGGATTTCAAGCACAGAATTTTTGTATTCCAAAAGGGACTCTCAAACGTTTCCTTGATACCTTTGTATCTTTAGCATATTACTATACTTCTGGCTGAATGCAACAGAGAATAATTTCCTACGACTCCAGAGCTCAAAAATTGATTCCCAAAGTACATTTACCCATTGGGAATTGAAAATGCTGCTATTATAGACTTTTTAGACTAAGCGTTTAAAGACAGCAAAAGATCAGATGTTGCAGGGACTGGGAGGGATAAACAGTGTTTGTTTCTTTTCCTTTTTTAATGTAGAACATCTGAAGTTTTTAGAATTCTTATGTATAAGCTGAATAAAAGTATCTTAGCAGAAGGCTCATCTATTATTTATATTCCAAGTTGCTTCTGTTGTTATCATTGTTGCTGCTGCTATTACTACTCTTTTATTGTTGTTGTTGTTGTAGACCCAGACTGAAAAATGTGGACAGAAGTACCGCTCAGCAGCTGGCAGTCACAGTAGGGAATGTCACAGTAATTATCACAGACTTTAAAGAAAAGACTCGTTCTTCCTCCACATCTTCATCCACAGTGACCTCCAGTGCTGGATCTGAACAGCAAAATCAGAGTAGTTCGGGCTCCGAGAGCACAGACAAGGGTTCATCCCGCTCTTCTACGCCAAAGGGCGACATATCGGCAGTCAACGATGAATCTTTCTAAGAATTGCACATGGAATTGTGGGAAACTTATGAAATCAGGGTATGAAATTCAAATATTCCACCTGTCCACCAGGACAACCTGAGAAAGCTGCCAGTGCCACCTCCTCTTCCTTTTCTCCTTGTGCTTCAACATGCTTTTTGGATATCCTTCCCTTAATTGATGACACCTGGACGCTTTGGTTTCACTGTGGGCATCTGGCTACCAAGGAATTTCGCACCCTGAGAATTACTTTCTGATGTTTATGTATTCCATTGTTTTATATGATTTTCCTAACAATCATTTATAGTTGGATGTGCTCCTGACTCTACTTTTTTATAAATCTGCTGTGCACAGTTTTTCCATGAATCTTACCACCAATTTTATTTTTGTTTTGGGTGAGGGAATGTGATGTATGGGTAAGGGCGGGCTTATAGGAGGCTTTTTATTTATTGTATTCACAAACTTCATTCTCTCTTGTTTGTTCAGCATATTTTTTGAGTTCAAATCTCCCTCTTCCAGTTATACTGTGTACTATCAGTTTTGATATAAATTATATATATATAAATATATAAATATATATATAAATAAAGTATATATAGGGTTATTTGAAACCAATACATGGAAACGCTGGTGCTTGAAACACTGTGAAGCTAAGCAATTTAAGATCTGGGACAGCGAGTGCCGTTTGGCAAGTGCTGAAACCCAACTGGAACCAGTCTTAGATCAACAAAGTGTTCCCAGAGGTTCTAACAGAAACAGGACCTGGTTTTTCTCTTGTGCTTTGGCTGAAGAGTACTGGACAAAAATAGATATCTATTTTCTTATTTTCTGTTCTTTTTGAAATCTAAAAGGTGCTCCAAGTCATTGCATTTCCAGTTAAAGTATCGGAAAACAATAAATTTCTAGCCCTTTCCTACCTGTGTACCAATTTTAAAAACAATGAACAACTCCAATTTCAAAATGCTTAGTATTAATGTCCCTGATGACTGCACATTAACACTGCCTATTTTGAATAACAAATCTCATTCTCTTATTGTCCAGATTTATATTGGTGATGGGAAAAGATTTTTGAATATCAGTGGGGAAATGTCAGACAGCTTTTATAATAGAAGGCAGTCCAAGGCCTTAATAAATAAGTGCTCCCCTTATAATAACATGAACCGAGATCTATTGTCACATGAATTGTTTTCAGTTCAAATCTTCTATATGTGACTCTGCTTTATTGTTAGTAATTTAATTCATTTAATTCCATTTCCTTAGGATTATCAGTGCTTAGACATGTCTCTCTACCATAACTTGGTCTGAGAGCAAAAGTTGTAAAGACATTTTTGTACTAATAAGGGAGCATCAGAATGGCAAATAACTTCAATTTTTGTTTCGAAAACTATTCTGAGATTGTTTACTTACAGATCCAAACTCTATTGCAGTTTTATCTAGCTGGTTTTTCTGCTTAAAACACTAGAAAGAAGATGGAACACTTAAAAAAAATCTTCAAACTCTTATTGTGTGCTTTTTAGGTGACCCAGAGTGCTTTGCTATACTTTCAGTAACCATTTTTTAGTTTTGTCACAATGATTTCCATGTAGGTTTTCTCAAGGGCCACTCAGCAGAACTTGGTGCTAGACAATTACTGTACTCATTTCTTGTTTGAATAATATAAATTATTTCTGTTCTAGAGAGGCATGAAATGGTTATGTTTTATCAGTTTAAAGCCACAAACACAAACTTATTTTATATCAGTCTGAAAATTTTAACCTATGCTTAACTGAATAAAGTAATTCTGCTCAAAGAGGTAGAGTAGCAGAGCAGTGCCTTTGCAGCTGCATCTATTTTGATGAGTTTCTCATTCAGTTGTTCTTATATCCTTTTTTTTTTGAAAACTTATTTTTAAAGTATTTATTGAAAAATAAAAAAGAACCAAAGGAAAAACAGATGTTTCTTAAGCTCTGATAATACAATATTATCGTAGTTTTTAATAGTCCACATCAATCCACATTTTAACATTGGTAAACATTCCTTTTACAAGTTTGACTATTCCTTTAAAGGATCTCAGGGAGGGTAAATTGGTCAGCCATAATTTATTTTTGGAGAAAAAAAAATAATTTTTAGAGATGTTTTCAACTTAGTCCCAGATATGTGTGATTTGCACAGATTTTTTAAAAAAGAAACTTACATCTAAATTAATTAGGCTTGTATGCATTTAGCTCCTTCCCAGCAAAGACCCAATCTCTGAGCATGTCTGCTGGAAGTTCACCAGTATATACAAATGGTGTGCTTCCCTCTGTGGCTTGCTAGAATACGGCCTTGGTTGAAGTCGGGGGAGAGCAGTGTGCGTGTTTAAGAAAACCAGTTACAGCAGATACCACCCTCCAATCATTGCTGCTCCATTCATTTCCAAGGTGGCTTCTCATAGGCTGTCATTCCAGTGGGTAAGCAGCAGGGGTTAATGGGTTCTTCCTTATGAAACCTGTCCCTTAGGTTAGGGAATAAAAGCTTTAACCATAATGAGCTGCTCATTGGCTTACCAATTCAGTGAAATCCTCTTTGGGTTTTCTTTTTCCTTTTTTCCCCTATGTGTGCCTCTGTGCTATATTATCTTGTTAGAATAAAGTATGCAAATCCATCTTTGGCACAAGTGGAGTGATTGAAACTGCATTTGGCTGAAATTGTCAGCTAAGCATTCAAATTTTCTTGGGCCACATTTTTTACCATTGTGTTGTAACCAAGAAAACACCTTTTTTTTNTAAACTATAAACTATAAACTATAAACTATAAACTTTCTTTTAAAATATATACAATATAATAGGGTCGGACTGAAGGTTGAACTCTAAAGAGAACAAGAGGGAACTAAAGATTTTATTTCAAAGAAAAGAACACTTAAATTTAACTTAGTAGTGCAGAATGGAGCAAAATATTTTAACATTGGACATATTGAATATTTTTGAACAATGGAGCCAGAATTTATTTTTAAGAGGCTCTGTCACTATAGATCAATTGTGTTTAAAAGATGTTATGGAAGAGGAACAGGTTTTACTGAACAAGACTGACTGATCCGAAAGTGGATTTTAAAACAACAGGCTACAAGAAGGATACAAGAGGGAAAAGATGCTGTCCTGGGCAGACAAATGAAACCGGCTGATATCTTAATAATTAAAATGGATATACAAATAACAAACCAAAAGAGTCACATGGATAACATCCCTATATTAGATTTACAAAACAGGCTAGTTAAGTTTTGAAGAACTTTGTGAGATGGGACAAAGAAAAAAATGAAAATAAATTAATTTCTGGGACACTATTTGAAGAGACTAAGGATCAAGATTGTTAAAAGTTATGAATATAAAGTTGGTTTATTTATCAAGGTTAAAATAGATCTGTTATTGTCTCTGATAACCCTCAATGGACTTTTGCTGATTAGGATTGAACACAGAAGCTTTAAGGATTTGTTTATAAGATAAGAAATGAGATATGGGCAGAAGAGACCATGTGATGTATTTTACAAGCAAGTGATAAGTTGGTAAAATTGTTTATATATGATGGGTGGGGATCATTTCTTAATTTTATTTTCTTGACTTTTTTATTTCTATTTTTCTCCTGCACTTTCTATTCTTTTTTATTTGTTTTAGTTTGTCATTTTTAATAAATGCTTGGTCAGACTAGCAGAATATATGTCAACGTTCCAAGTATCAGCCCCATAGAAAGCAGAAGTCCGAGGTTCCTCAAATAACAGTTTTATTGAAGATATCATATTGGCACAAGTTGTTGAAAGCCTATTCTGAAAGTTCCCACAGTTTTCACTTGATTAAAAGTGAAAGTTTCCCCCTTTCTCCAAACAATCAGTCACATTGTCCAGTCAAGGTGCTGGCTGATTGCCTCGTTACTTCACCCCTCGTTCCTCCATCTATCTTTTGGAATTTCCTTGGTTCCCACAAGAAACTATTTTGTTTTGACTACAACCCTCCCCCCCCCATCTAAGTATGTTTCCCCTCTATCCTCTCTGCATTGTGGCCTGAAGCCTCCAAAATGGCCCCAGCCAGGTCCACTTCCGAGTTGACAGTATATTGAAGAAATAATGGACAGGGGAAATATGGTGGAACAGTGACATCCAGCCATTACACGGAAAGGACAATGGGCCTATAACTGTCCTCTCAAATTGCATCTATAGAGCCAAAGAAACTATTAGCCTTGACGCAGTGGGACTACCTTGTAAATCATCTACTGGGAATTTAGTGGGCTTCCTTGTGAAGTGGGATGGCCATTGTGAGAGTAGACTACTGGACTAGATGGATCAGGATCTGATCCAGCAGGGTGCTGGTTATGTTCTTACCAGACACCGATAGTGGTCCTTCAACTGTAAGGTCCCATTTTTCACTGTTAGTCTGGTTGTTGACAAAAAATCTATTATCTAGGATTGAATCTTGGATGAAAATGCTAACCTGACTAACAGAAAAGAACTGTATATTGTCCACCACCACTATCCCATGCTTCACCTGGCTCCTTCATGTTACAGTAGCCGAGGATTGGAGAGCAGGAGATGAATTATTAGTTGTAGGAATTTTATTTTATTGATCATTTGGAAATCTGCCATTTTTAAATTCTTGCTGTTGCATTTGGAACCAGGGTCTTATGTGTAAACTGTAAATGTACTATCTACATGTATGTACTATCTACATAACCATTCTGCTTCTTGAGCAAGCCAGGTAATCTCGGGCTTGGTGTTGGATTGTCTTGAAGGATTTCTCGTGCCTAGTGGGATTGCTCATTCATGAATTGTTCACAATTTTATATTCTTCTGATGTCTATGGAGAAAAGGTCTTACCTGTCCCAGTTGGTGTTTTCCTACAGATATGCAAGCCATCATTTTTATAGGGGTAGAGCTGTTGATTTGAAAATGGAGGACTCCTCTGTGATATAGACAGATAATTAGAACTTAGAATGACTTTATTGCCACTTTGAATGTACACTAATCGGCATACATTAAAATTAAATTCCATTGCATACAGTTCTCAAAGGGTCACCATCCTACACTACATAAGCATGACAAAACAAATAAATAAATAAATAAATAAATACAAAATTATGCATATACCCACATCAGAGGTGGTTTGCTGCCGATTTGGCCCAGATCGGGTGAACTGGTAGTGGCGCTGAGCCAATAATGATCCCTTGACCCAACCTACCTCATCAGATTGTTGTTCTTAAAAAAAAAAGATATTGTATTTCTAAGCAGAGACAAAAGAAAAATATTTAAGAAATGTAGGTTGGTGATGTTATCCACATTACGAGTCATTTTTACCAAGATATCAAGAAAAGGGAGTCTGAACATTTCGTTGCTGAAAAACACCTGAAACTGAAGAGCAGGAGTAGACAATCCCAACCTTATTATCATTAAGTGAATTGAAAAATATATGTACTGTATAAATTTGAAATTTTAGGAAATACTGAAGTTCAAGTGATTATTATTATCATCTCCTCCATTTCTAATGGCACCTAGAGCTGAAAGTAAATTAAAATTAAATACTTTGGGGGCAGAAATAAAATTGAACTTAACTGATTTTATATCCTAAAAACATCCCAAGTCTCTTGGACCATCTTTTTCTTTAAAGCAGATAAAGGTAAAGGTTTTTCCCCTGTGCAGTTGTATCCAACTCTAGGGGAAGGTGCTCATCTCCATTTCTTAGCCAAATTACCAGCATTGTCTGAAGACACTTCTGTGTTCATGTGGCCAGCAGGATTATACACCAAGGCGCATGGAACACCGTTGCCTTCCACCAAAGTGGTACCTNTGTTAGAATAAAGTATGCAAATCCATCTTTGGCACAAGTGGAGTGATTGAAACTGCATTTGGCTGAAATTGTCAGCTAAGCATTCAAATTTTCTTGGGCCACATTTTTTACCATTGTGTTGTAACCAAGAAAACACCTTTTTTTTTAAAAAAAAAAAAGCATGAGATTTGAAAATTGGATTATCTTAACTTCCTTCATTTCATTTAACTATTCAGTAGTTGGAGAGCATGCTTTAAAATATTAGTGTATAAGAAGGGCCAGAAACGCTTTGTAGCCAGTGGCACAGAAAGCAGGTAAGGAAAAAGCACAGTGTTACATTTTCAAAGTTAAATTTTTACATACACACATGCACACCCATACACATCCATACACACAACAGGTTGCTTGACTTCCTCTGTTTGAATACTTTAAATATGTCATGCAAAGAGAACAATGAAAAGCAAAAATGTTTAAGATGGGCAGTTTTAATTGAAAGCATTTTGCTTCTTCAAAATCAGTTTCTATTTTAAAACTGGGCAGTGGCTATATTCATAGAAATACATCTGCCTTACCAGTACCATTTCCAGTCTACTTTTTAAAAACTGTTACCATAAATTATTGAAGTTATTACTTGCTGACTATATAACCTTTGCTTGTATGTAACTGAAAAAAAAAATGATTTGAGAGCCAACATTTACAATACGACAATGGAGCTGAACAGTTTTTAATGCGCAAGCAGTTCTGTTCTTGTGTATGACTTGTAACCTTAATTTACTGTGTAAAGATGGTTACATTATTTCTTTAGCTTTGTTTGTTTGGAGACAAATAGAGAATGCTTGTTTAAGTATGTCAAAACATAATTTTATCTTGTGAATTTTTATGTTAATGTATTATACGAGCTATATTTTTCATTTGCCCAGAAAGACAGCTTGTATAACGCTTTGGAAGTTTTCTGCTCTGTAAAGTCTTTAGAGCTGACAGTCCTGTTAGGTTTGTTTTTAATCTTCATGCTAAAAGTGTCAATGGTGATTTTGTGAACTGGTCAGAAAAATTCACAGGTCTTAAATGTTTTCGGGAAATTTATATTGGACACTGCTCTTTGTCTAGCAAATAAAAGATGTTAATATATTCCTGTTACCGGCATGTGCACGACTGTTATTAGAAGCCACTTTATCATTTTCTTGCTTTAAATAGAAATGTCTATTTATGAATTCTGCTTGTAGTTTTTTCACAAATAAAATAGTAACATTTAATTAAATCTGATTTTCTAGTCTTTGATGTTGAGGAAAGGGCCAAGTCAGTTTGCTGTGCTAGTATATTTCTAGGTAAACTTTTAATTTTATTTTACATGTTTAACATGACATTTATATATGAACAGTATGCATGTTTTAGGGTACTGATGATCCAGATAAGCCATTTATATTAACACTTTTTTTTCTTGCACTTGATCATATCCATGAAGTGCCAAGCTTGGAAATGTGTACTTTTTCATTCTTTCCAGCAAAATAATATCTTTTACTAATACTAATATATTGGGACATGTATTAACCAAACATGTTCCTTGTTGAATCTAATGTTCTAGCAGATTATTAATAGCCACAAGTTTCTATTGAAGTGGATATCCTTCTCAAGTTGTATAGAAAAAAATCATTACTGTAAAAGATTTGTGAAACCCTGTACCTAGAATGAAAAAGTCATGAGGCACTTACATGTTCAATTGTTTAAATATATGTGGGAAAAACTGATAAATTTAAATTTTTGTTCTTTGAAATAATGTATTTAGTTAGTTCAAACAGTAGAGACTCTAAGAATGAAGCTACAGACAATCTGGATCAGGGGTGTTAAACTGGCGGCCTACGGGCCAGATGCGTCACACACAGGCCACATCCACCCCAGCTCCGCCAAGGGGGAAAACATCATGATATGTCACGTGAAGGCAATGTGACACCGCAGGTTTGACACCCTTGGTCTAGATTGATTTGACCATTGTTTCTCCTGTATATCCTGTCAAAACTGCCAATTCAGACTTTGAACTCTCGGGGGAATTACTCTCTTTACAGGGGCAGAATTGTATAAAGTATAAATCATTAAACAATGAGTTTGTCATGCAGAAACATCATTGGGGATCTGAAGTTTGTTTCTGCTGAATTGTTCTAATGTACATGACAGTTTTCAGCTATTAAAGTAATTTGTGGAAATTTATGTAATTTTGAGCTTGGTTGTTTGCTTGCTGAAATTTTGTTACCTGACATCTTTAATGGCAGAAAGGAGTGGGATTTGCTTTCGGCTTATATATAGTATCTTGCCCTGAGGTTGGTGGCGGTGTTGCTTCCTCGCTGGTTTCTTGATTAGGCTGCTGTTGTTTACTGCTTGGTTGAGTTGGTTTTTCCTCGATTAGAATATTGTTTACTGCTTGTTAAATCTGGTGTTGATCCCTATTTATCTTGGTGTTGATGACTGGAGAGGAGCCAATCTGGTTGTTTTGGGGTTTGTTTTAGTTTCTCTTTTTGTGTGTATGAAAGACTCTTAAATGATGGGTAAAGGTGGTTTATCCCTATTTGCCTATTGATAGCTGATTTGTCTCAGTTCCAAGCTTTCAAGAATTTCCTAGGTTTTTTGTTTTTTTTGCTTAGTCTATGATGCTTATAGTTTCCTAGTTGAAATTATGGTTAGGTCTGCGTATGTGTTCCAAAATTAAAGTGTTCCCATTGGGTCTTCTCACTTTGGTTTACTTAAGATATTCTAGAGGTTTTTAGCTGGTTTATCTATTGAGCCAATACTATGTATGGTTTATGTACTACCATGATGCTGTGTGGTTGTAATTGTCTATTGGTTGTTTCTGAGATGGTTTTGATGGATGGAACTTTTATTTATCAAATTGATATGCCATCCATCTCTTTGATAAGGTAACTCTGGGTGGCTTACAAAGAGTAAAAAGAATAAAATATAAAACCAATTAAAATTTTAAAACCTATATAAAAACTAGAACCAAGGAAATAGTGTGGGAATGAGATCCTCTTATCCAGTTAGCCGCCTGCAACAGTGAGCACCACTCTTGGGGTTCCAATGTTGTTTTTTATAACATTTGTTGATTATGCTACAGTGGTTGACTTGTCATACTTTTTTTTAATATATAAAGTTGTGCAGGTATTCATTTTGTTGACATTGTATAGGCGGTTTGTTTCTTGAGTTTCTGCAGTGCATTTTTGCACTGTCCATGTGTTATGTAACTTCATAACACATGGACAGATTTAATCATAATTTTAACTAAGAAATGTGAGCATCCTAGACTAAAAATGCTAGGGAAATCCTGGAAGCTTGGCACGCATGTATATCAACCATCATGAGACACATAGATTCAAAAGATACAATAAAAAAGCTAGAAAGAAAAAAGGCCAGAACATCTCCTTGCAAGCATTCAGCGCTCAGGTAAGCATGGTTTAATACTACAATTTACACCAGACTAGTAGTAAACAACAGCCTAATCAAGGAACTACCAAGGAAAAGAACAATACGCCCACCAACACTGACAGGTCAAGCCACCATATATAAACAAATCCATTCCTTTCTAGCGAGAGCACTGAAGGTGTCGTCATAATTCTGCCAGCAAACAACCAAGCTCCAAGAGCACCAAGAACTCCACAGTCCAATCCTGAGCTACAGATTTTCTCTTCTATGTAGCTTCCCTCCCCTTCCCAAGAACAATATTTTCCAAATCAATATTTTTACACCATGCAATGCTTGATTGCTCTTTCACAATCCATAGTTTACATTAATATCGGTGTCAACTATATTTATAAACGGGTTCATTTGATGAAGCAAGAAATCTGGGTACAGTGTGAGCTGAAGCAAAACCCACCAGATTTTCAATGATCACATTAAGCAGAGTTGTGCTTTTGGGGGGGGGGGATGCTCACAGTTCAATACCTTCAAATTTGCTGAATACTTTTTAATGCATAGGAACGTGATATATAATGGGAGGCTGTTTTAGCCCTATTGCTAGTTTTCTCAGATATAAATTTTAGAGAGAGGAAGCTTGCAAATAATTTAGATGAGATGGGTAGCACACAAATCTAGTAAAGAAATAAATGCCCAATTTAAAAGTTTATAATGATGTCTGGCAGATGAATTATAAAATATGAATAGAGCTGACAAAGTCAAATTGACTAGCTGTGTTTTCAGATAAATTAGTGAACAAAACTAAGTTGAAATTAAATAAGTGTAGAAAAAAAAGATGAATCTGAAGTGTAAGTAACTCAAGTGTAAGTGGAAAGAATGAATAAGGAATGGAAATGTATTTTTAAAACTTTAAAATATTCACTATTCACTAAGGCTAGTGTGAAAAAGTGCATGAAAAATCAAGGTGAAGCACGTATGGGGGAGGAAAACATAAGTTGTGTATATCTAAAGTGCCATTTAATAAATGATACAAAATATATTTTATCAGAGACTACTGAATATAAATTTTCCCTTCAGCAACCACTAGTAAAGAAAAAATGGTAAAGTAATTAATGAGAGTCATACAAGTGTTATAGGTTTTAACCCTGAATGAATAGTATGTGATGCAGTGATTAGAATGCAATATTGCAGACTAATTCTGCTGATTGCTGACTGCCAGCAGTTCGGCAGTTTGAATCTTCGCGGTTCAAGTTGACGCAGTCTTCCATCCTTATGAGGTCGGTAAAATGATGACCCAGATTATTGGGGGCAATATGTTAACTCTGTAATCTGTTTAGAAAGGGCTGTAAAGCACTATGAAGCGGTATATAAGTCTACGTGCTAGTTGCTATTCCTGTGGTGGTTCCTTATGGGGCAACAAGAGAATCCTTGGTTAAAAAGAGCAGCAAACTCATAATGCTGATCATAAAAAGTTATGAAATGGGTCTTCCAGAAAAGGAATGGCAAACTGAAGATGGCTCTTTTCCAGAGCTGATGATTGTGGTGGAAAAAAGAGCCAGTGAATGGATAGACTCCTCTCCAGATCAAGGAAACGACCAAGATTACCCAAAGGTTTGCTCAATACAGACGCTACTCGTGAAGGAATCATAAATTTCCCAACTGGTTTGACAGCTCTGGATACAGAGGAATTTCATCCCAATTGGCGGTTTAGGGCCTTTATTTGGACACTGCTTCATCCGCTTCACTTATGAATTGCTTGTTTTTGAATCTTTGGATGTTGAGAACCTCCTGAAAAGCAAATGATACCTCACTTGGACAGTTTCCTTGTACCCTGGATGAAAAAAAGTTTCACATAAGCTTTAATGATAAAAAAAGAGAGAGCTTTATCTTTGGAAATTAAAAAAGGAGAATAGAATGTTGATTTTGGAAAGCTAAGAAGTGAAATTGAAAGAATAATTACTGTGGGTTGTTTAAAATTTTATAAAAGCATATATGAATATTTTGAAATTAAAAGAAATTTTCCCTTGGAAAAGTTTTATTGATTGAAAAATAAACATAGGATAAAAAGGTGCTTTGAAGGTTGACTAGAGGAGGGAACCAAAGACAACCAAGGATTACAATTAAAGGAGAAGACACCTGTGAACATAATGGGGCAATATTTGGCTACAGTGGAACTTAAGGCTGTTTGGGAACAATGTACTCAAAAATTACTTTCAAGAATCTCAGATATCATAAGAATGTATTTAAAAAATTACTATAGAAGAGGAACATATTTTACTGGATAAAATAGAGACTGAAGCACATGTGGATTTAAAAATGGATTTTGGAAACATGCCAGACTACAAGAGTGACGAAAAAAGGTGTCATGGATTTTAAAATGGATTTTAAAATGCTAGACTACCAAAGTGACATTGAAAAAAATGCCACAATGGATTTACAGCTAACACCGGATGATGCATTCATAACTAAAGAGGACATACAAATAATAAATCACAAGAGTGACTTGGAAAGTTTTCTTATCTTGGATTTACAAAAGGGATGTGTTAAACAACTGAAGCTGTCTTTAGAGAAAGCAAAAAGAAAATATTAAGAAACCAACTTATGGAACATTTTTGACTAGATTAAAGATTAAGTTCTGTAAAAGTAAAGGGAAGGAATATAAAATCGATTTATTCAACCAAGGTTAAAATACAACTATTGTGGTTTCTTATAGGTATTAACATTTTTTTTAAACCAGGACTGAAGATTCGTTTACACATGGGAAAGATTTCCTTTGCTTTATTTTTCAAAGAAAGTGGTAAATTTTAATACAAAATTATTTAAAAATAAAATGCACGTTACTCACAGATAAAGGCAAATATACATGTACCAGGATAATGTTGCAGGATTCAGTCTGGGTTGGTCGTTGGGACCAGAGGTTTAATTAAACCTCTAGCCCCAATGAACAACCCAGATTGGACCTGCAACATATGTTATTATTTCTAATAATGAATTTGTGCTGATTAAAACTGAATGATGAATTTTTGCAATATGTTTATTGCAAGAGATGAGATGGGATTTCTTTTTTACTTTTAATACTAGAGATAGTGTTAAGTTAGTGAAGTTTTCCTTGTCTGAAGGGAAGATGAAGTATATATATATATATATGTATGTATGTATGTATGTATGTATGTATGTATGTATGTATGTATATGTACATGTACATGTACATATACATATACATATACATATACATATACATATACATATACATATACATATACATATACA